ATCCTGACTTCATGGAGACAGAAGCTACTGTGCTCAGGATCCTTTCAGACTTGACCTATGTACCTTTTATCTGCCATTTATTTTCATTCTTTATAATAAAATGATAATCATTAAGTATAGCATTTTCATGAGTTCTGTGAACATTCTAGCAAATTATCAAAACTGAGGGAGTTGTGGGAAGCCCCAAATTTATAGCAGGCTGGACAGAAGTACAGTTGTCTTGGAGACATCTGGGACTTGTGGCTGGTGTCTGAAATGGGAGTCGTCTTGTGGGACTGAGCCCCTTAACCTTTGGGGTCTGTGCCAACTCTGGGTAGTGTCATAATTGAATTGAATTGTAGGACATCCAGTTGGTGTCAAAGAATTGGTGTCAGAATGCAAAGAGTCATGTCTGTAAATCATATCACTTTGTAGTCAATGATAGAGCAAAATGATAAAAATTGGAGATTGCATCTGGGAGAAATAAGTGAGACTATCAGATTTATTTTTTAATATATTCGCTGTGTAAACAAGTAGCAAATTCTATATATTCTCAGTTTAAATTCAAACCAATAAATATTTACCGAGCACCTGTTATGAGCCAAATACCTTGCTCAGTGCTAGAGGTTACCAACAGAATAAATACATGGAATTTATAATTTGATGGGAGGCATAGATATATAGGAACAAACAAAAACACTTGACCTTACTTTTTTTTTTCTGTCCAAACAAGTTGGACTACCTTTTATTCATAATCGTAGTATTAGAATGGCTGAATGGAGTTTGGTGCCATCTGCCTACACTGGCTTTGATTCATTAGGAAATTTTTTTATCCCGTTTTTAAGAAAATATTTACCTTTTCCCATGGCTGTCCAGAAAGAATTTGAAGAGAATACTGATACTAGTTTCTATTTCCTTTAAATATGGAAAAGCATTACCTGATCCACTCTAGAGGAGTGATAAAATGTTATTTATGTGGATAATTATTTTAATATGTAAATTTATCTCTTAAGAATGTGCATAGTATTATGATTTCATAAATATGTCCAAAGTTGCCATAGGCTGAATGTTTGTGTCCCTCCCCAAAATTCATATATTGAAACCTAGGCCCTGATGTGATGGTGTGAGCCGTTGGGAGGTGAGTACGTCATGAGGGTGGAGCCCTCATGAGTGGGATTAGTGCTTTTATAAAAGAGACCCCAAAGAGCTTCTCCACCATGTGAGGACCCAGGAAGAAGATGACTATCTATGAACCAGTGTGGGGCTCGATCCCCTGACCCTGAGATCATGACCCGAGCCTAAATCAAGAGTCAGACACCTAACTGACTGAGCCACCCAGGCGCCCCCTTAATCAGTTTTTTAGGAACAAAACATATGCAACGATCCTTTGGAAGTAGTCTGAAAACCAAAAAATAGTCTAGACTTAGCAATGAGTCATTCATTTGAACTCCTGTTAGTTTTTCAAAATCATGACATAATTTTTATCGACAGCCCTTCAGGTCATAAAACTTCCACAAGAAATGTATGCACCCTTTGTTTATCTTCCAAGGACTCGGGTATATTTAGACATTACCCTTAAACTCATAGGCTTCCTTACTTAAAACTAGTCTCTTGAATGATGCTTTTATTCTTAATGAAGGTAAAGCAAACTCTTTTTTCAAGTACCCCTCAAAACATCACATCTACACCGATAACCTAGTCAAACAATGTGGATTTTCTCCTCTAATTATTATGTCAAGGTTGTTTTCTAACCTTTTCTGTTCCAAAATTTCCCCCAATGGGACTGCCAACTGCTTCTGCAGACAGTTTAGTTGGTTCTAATTCTTCATCTCTTTTCAGCGAGCTACCAGCATTTCACAAGCTGTTTTGTTTTTCAGGCCTTCCTTCATCATGGGGACTATTGTTGATTTAGCCTGTTTTAGTAATTTTTAAAACTATAGTTGTGTTTTATGAGTTACAACTTTTGAACATCATTAAATAGTACAGAACTTACCTTTATTTTTGAAAAGTAAATACACATAGTTTATTTCATAGTTTTATAAAAGCACAAAAAAGAACAGTGTTTGCTTTTCTCCAAACTGAAGCTAATAAAAGTGTAAATATTTTAAATCTCTTGTTCTATAAAAAAGCAAAAATAATAAGATCATGCATATGGAATGCATGATTTCTTCCTATTTGGCAAACTTGTCTCTTAAGGTTCAACTATGATGTCATTTCATGTATGACACTATCTGCATCCTCCCTAGGCTTCCTTAATACTTGGACTTCTGCAGGCTCATATCACATGGTTTTGTAGATGCTTGATTTTAAGTCTGTCTTCTATGTAAAACTGAATACCTGCAAAACTGGAATCTTCTGTTAATTACCTCGGCATCCTACCAACCTAGTTCAGTGCTTGATATATAACAGTTCATGGATAAGTGTTTCTTGATTACACAGCTTCATTTTTTATGAAGCCATGGGAATATTCTGTAGCCAAAACTTTCTTCTATTTTTTTCTTAATTTAATACACATTGTAAATGTGTTTTTAGTTTACTGTGTGTTTTCTGATATAAGTTACTGTTTAAACAAGATGTGCGCTAACAGATCCCTTGACTCATTTCCAACTGTGTATCTTATCGTCCAAAGTGGAAATCAGGAGCCTGACCATGCAATTAGGTGATACAGATAAATAAAATGAATCATATGTAAGAAAAGATGAATCTCATAAGAAGCAGATGCTTTCAATTCTGGCCAGTTGTTGACATGACCTATGATATCAGATTTTCCAAATTTAAAAGGAATCAGAAATTTAGGCTTTTATGTTAAATGTTGGAACTTATTAGACATCAGTAAATATATGCGGGCCAAATGAAATTCCTCTGTAGTTACGATCTGGATTATCTATTGCCAAAGTATTAAACTTCTAGCTTGTATGTTGCTTTTGCGATGCAGAGAGGTAGATAAATGATTTTGTCACAATATCACATTGGAATGGACAGTAAGACTAAGTATAAATTATCTCCAATTCTTTTTTTTCCCCACATATAATAATGGCACTTACAAAGTGCGGTTTAAGAAATTAATCCAACTTCTTCATCATCTAGAAGTAAAGAAAGAAATTGTGGAATGTATTCTCATCAGGATGGAATGAGTTACTTGAGCTCTTACTTTTTAATGTAACTTTAAAACTAGTAGGTCTTGAAAATAGTGTTTGTAAGATCTTTGGTGTTTTTTCTCTACTGTAAGGAAAGTTAATAATAAAAAAGGAGAGTAAATCACAAATGCAGAATTATTCACACAAGCAGAAGAGCAGTATCCTTGGCTGTGAAAGGGTTTTCTGAGGGTGTGAAGCATACTAGACATTTAGAGAGTGGGGAGGACTTGCAGAACTGATATTAAGAACAGTGAATTCTCCAAGATGAGAATGTTATCCATACTGACATGAAACCTGAATCTGGGGAAAGAATTTTAGGCTTTCACCAGACAACCAATCTGACTCAACAACAGTCCATGCAAGGAGGAACGGAGAAGTCATCTACAAATGACCTACATGTACTGTTCAAACGAAGCATTCTTGACACCTAGGCTCCTAAATTAAAGAATATACTATGATATAATGGAAACAGACAAAAATGGGGGCACCACTTGCTTATTTTACCCTTTATTCTCTCCCTACAATCTCAAGTGAGGGTATTCTTATAGTCTAGACAGTCTTCTCAACCACATCGATGTGATAGATGTGGTAGAATAACTCCTCTTGCTACTTGGAAGGGCTAAGTCTGTGTCCCAACCTCATCTGTTTGTCCAGGGGATGCCTAGGGGTCAAGTCACCCTCGTGCCTTCACAACAAGCAACAAGAGTAGCCCTCTTTCATTCCTTGAGTAATACTCTTTGGCACACAGTTTTAAAATCTGGGTATGGGAGGCTTTCCTTCTCTTGAGGAGCCTCCAAATTTGCTACATTGGAAACAGGAGCTTCCTTGCATTGCTTCAAAGAACAAGGACTGATTTTTTTATTTGCTTAGCTGTATCTATCTTTCCAAGTAAAGCTGGCAACAAATAAAACCAGCATTTTTGAGATTACTGTTTGCTAATTACAAGATTAACTTAGATTCTTAAGAAACTCCTTACAATCTTACACAAACATTTGCTCTCATGTCTTCATTCATTAATGGAAGATAATAGCAACAGAATTTTTCAGAAGAAACTCCCACACACTGCAATACGCACAACACGCTGTTTTCTTTTCTTCTCTTTTCTTTTCTTCTTTTCTTTCTTTTTTTTTTTTTTGGCATTTACAGAGTTTAGTTGCATTTGCAGTTTGGTGTGGCTGACACAACTTAAAAGGCATTTAGAGAAATGAAAACTCAGATGAGAGAGAGTTGGAAGCCACTGGATGTGGTGGCTTCTACCTGCCTATTTTTGTGTCCTTACATATATTCAGAATATCCAGATTATTCAAAAGCAAAACTTCCAGGTGTTATGATATGTTATGTGGCTTTAGGCTTTGTTTGTTTTTTTACATCTTATTAAATGCTTTTATTGTGTTTGTTCCTTTTATTATATTACCTCAAGTCCTTTGCAGAAATATTTACGAAGAGTAAATACTCTTAATGATGGAAAACAAACTGATGGTTACCAGAGGGGAGGTGGGTGGGGGATGGTTAAGTGGGTGATAGGGATTAAAGAGTGCACTTGTGATGAGCACCCGGTGTTGTATGGAGGTGTTGAATCACTAAATTCTATACCTGAAACTAATATTGCACTATATGTTCACTAACTGGAATTTAAATAAAAACTTTTTTAAGAAGAGTGAATACATGTTTAGTGTATGAGAAGATTAGCCTTCCTTATAAACATTAAAGGGACATATTAAAAATACAGCTATGTATACTTACTATAATGTGTGAAGTAATGTACATTCATACCTAACAACTATATAATGAAAATATCTTCTTCACATATGTCAGGAAAAGTTAAGCAGAAAAGCATAAATTATAGAGCCCTCACAAATTTTTCTATTTCAAATTTCTGAACAGAAAGAACGAGAGAAAGGTTCTAATTTGGCCTTTATGTTTCGGCTGCCTTTTGCTGCTGGGAGGGTGTTTAGCATCAGTATGTTGGACACTCTTCTCTATCAGGTATGCAGTGTTTCTTTTTTCTCTCTAAAATGTTTATTCTAATTTCATTTAAATTTTATTAAATGAATAATACATCTAGTGTTTTTCATGGAGCTATTAACTTATAATGGGCCCTAGAAGTAATTCAGTGTTTCATTTTGTGTATTTAATGACACATGTGCCTATGAAACATTGTGTAAGGAAATTTTTCAGAATAATGAAAGATTATTTTTCAGAGTAATCTATGAAATAATTTTTAGTCATTCTTTAGCATCAGTGTCCTACAGTGTTTTTTGTGACATTTTAATATATTTTGCTTATTACTGTAAGCATGTTACCAGAGTAAAAAAAGAAGGTAAGAACAAAATGACTATATTAAAAAAAGACAACCTTCTTCATAATGCACATTTAAAAAAAAATAAGACATCAAAATGATGTCAATAAACTGATAAACCAAGGATATTTTAAATATCTGCTAATTACCACCTACTTTAGAAAAAATATAAAAAGATCTTGCAACAACTAAGAACCATTTAGTTTGTTCCTGAATGCCAAACTTAAAATAAATAAATAAATAAAATTGTCATTTGATCATAGCTAAGAAATTTATAGAGATATTATTTTGCACCAATATATTTTAATCTTTTTTTAACTCTACCAGATACTGAATAGCACTAATATTTCATATTCTCTGATTCAAGTAATCAGACAATTTATAAATATTTCTATTAAGAGAAAACAGATATTCATGGAGTTTTAAATTATTTGATAATTTTAATCTCAAATTAAGCATTCGAACATTTTGTTGTGCTATTTTCTTTTTGATTATGCATTTTATGTACCCTCTTCTGCAATGCTTGGCTGAATAAACTAATCTGAAGATGGCTAAAGCTTTTCTACTGGCCTTTGGGCTAATTATGCCCAGGAATATGCTTCTAGCAATGTCACAAACCATCTGCTTATGTCAGATGAGTGCAGGAACAAACGCAGCAAAGGAGAATAAGCACTCCTGTTCACCCTAAACTTTCCAGACACATTATCTGGGCACTCCAAGAGGGGGGCTTCCACCCCCCACACCATTACCACGTACATACTTCTGATCTCTTAGAGAGGGGATTGGAGGGGAGGAATTGTTTGAAGAACGATGCTGAAACTGAAGATTTTACGTCAATAGCAGTCAAATGCTTGATGTCATTATGCACCAGTGGTTTTCAGATTTTTTAGCCCTGGTATCTTATGTTTAAATAAAATCTCATGAGAAAGTCTAATAGATGGACTAAACAGAAGAGGAATTGTTCTACGGAAGTGGAATGCAATAGTTCTTTCTTTCTCTTCATTTTTACCTTATGTTATTTTGTTGTAAGTACACAAACAGGAGTTAATTTTTTCTGAAGCTACTGCAGAAAGGGTGAAGCAGAACAATAATTTTCAAAGTAGTAACTGCCTATTTAGGTTTGCCTGACGTCAGACAAGATACATTATGTTTCATGTTTTCAGATAAAGAGTACTCATTTATTGATTAAAAATAAATATTAGAAATCAGATATAATTCCTAAAAGTGCCTGTCACCACTGCTCTTGGTGGCCTCTGGTTAGTTCATGTTATAACTACCAGGATACTAACACACCTCAAAACCAAACTGCCTTTCTTTGACCTGAGGAAAGGGAATGGATATGGTTCCTTTGTTCTTGTTTAGAAGGCAGGATTTAGTTTTCTGATGCTAGCTGTTGGTAAAATAGTAATGAACAAAGGAGCCTAGTAAATTTATTTAAAAGGTATTAAAAAAATATTTGCGATGCAAAATAACTAGATGAGTATTTAAATTTTTCATTTGTTTAACACTTGAAGATTAAATTCAAGACAGTCATTTCATACAATCTATGAAATAATTATTACATGTTATGGTGAAGTGTGCTTGTATCTGTTGAAAGTTTTTCTTTTCACTCAGAACTAAGAATAAATTCACAAAATTGAAAGCATTGTTAACTTAATACTCTGTTGAGCAGTGTTCTAGCAATATATCAAAATATATCTTATATACTAGCACATCAAATAGTCTGATAATGATATTTAATACTAAATTATTAATTCATTAATATTTAGATTTACTGAAATATTAGAAATTTAATCTACTAGCAAAGAGCTTAATCCTAAAAAACCTTTTGGAATTGCAAATTTCAGTTTTCAAGTTTTTTTTATATTCTCTATTTTAGCTCATAGTTTTTTGTTATTAAAAAATCTAATTAAAATCTGTTTTAT